TTCTTCAATATATCATCAAGCATGTTTTTCTTTTCAGCCCATTTACCTTTGCATTAGAGGTTGAAGGATGGGACGCATTCAACTAGAAGGACAGAGGGATATGAACAGCAATATTTATGTAGCCACTCTACTATATTTATGTAGAAACCCCTGTAACAAACTGCCCACTCTTTCTTTGCCTCAGAAATTATATGTATGTCTTCTTGCTTGATTGAGTTGTACGTACAGGTCTTATGTATGGGTGATCGATCATTTTGGTCTGCTTTAAGAAGAGGATCTATGATAATGAATTTTTTCTTTGCGCTAGAATCTTTCAATTTAATATTACCGTTTAGATATTTCTAAAATAATCCGTGTTTAACAATAACACGACTGTATTTTTATGGGTACTTGTTTTACGTGAAATAAAGAAGAAAGAAAGAACGAATAATTAGTTTTTGTTGCAGTTGAAAAACTTAAATTCATTTCATGAATATTACCAATACACTAACAATCTGTCCACATATGTTATAGTGCTTAAGTCCATTTAGGGTACCTTAAAAGCTGTAAATCAGACAATAGGTAAATAGAGCGCAACCTGAACTTCCTGGCCATATTGCAGGTATTGATTTAATGATTGCTTTTGATAATAGACGATTCATCGTGACATTGATTTTCGTTTCGCTTCCAAATTACATGTACGATACTAAATCTCCAAGCAATCACTTACAGGTTGTTCCTGATAGGCCCCAAATATAAAACTATAAGTTTATGAGTTAATAGAACTTTTGATTACCCAATGGAACCGATCAAATCTGGTCTAACCACTTTGATATTTGACTAGTGTTAAAAGTAAATGGGACTGCGAAGTGGGGTTTCATTTTCACTAATGTACAAAAGTACAGCGAGGCTTTAGAAGTTATAATCTGCAGGACATTCAATTCTTATTATTATACCAACATTAATATTGCAGATATTACATTATAGAATTATAGTGTTGCCTGAATGGCATTGGTATTTACAATCATTACATAAAAACACATAACATTACATTGCATTACATACATATATACATGAACATATACATACTACTAATATGAACTGTACATCCCAGGCCTAACAAGTTCTGATTATACAGTCTGATTTTAGAGTCTGATAGACTGAGGGAAGAGTTCTGAAGTCTTTTTGTTCTGGCTGGGGATGGAGATTGGGGGATGGGCAAAGCAACATTCGCTATCTTCTCTCAGATCGATCTGCGTAATTGACTGAAAAGAAATGCTCAGATTGAATCAACATGCCCGTAACGACATTCAAACAAAGTCCATAAACGACTAGTATTTACACGGGACATATACGACGCTAAGACAGCCAAATTTGCTTTTGTTGTTTGCTGATTTGTCCTTTGTGCGATTTGTAAAGAAATATAATGCTCGAATGTAAATTCATTTTTTATGCCTTGACATGTCGCCGCTTTACAAATTAGGCAATCGTATTTTAAACTTGTACTTGTGAGAGAAAAATGCAGCGTATTATGTATGCTCCCCTTGCATTAGTAATCAGTATTTCACCTATATTGTATTATTGATGTATCGGGGTACCTTTGTGTCCGAAAGGGGGATTGCACTCATATCCAAACAGTTAATCCGACAGAAGATTATCTAAGTCCGTGAAATTGGACGATAATGCACTTAATCCCCGTTAAACCAATTTACGGTCCAAACATTTTGTTGAGAAATCGCCGGCCGGGCATCGATGGACACTGCTTGTGTCAGCTGGATCGCTAGAAACCATGATTTTTGACTTGAAAGATTGCCGAATGGGGGTTATCAGAAGTAGAGTTCATTTAACTCATAGAAAAGATTGCCTTTGTTATCACGATGCTCTGAAAGAACGTTCAATCTTAGGTATTCAGCGGTAGGATAGGTTAATCCTGCGCTTAGAACAATCACAGGTGGTTGCCACTTTACACGGGGCAGCCTATCTCGCTGATTGAAGTCATTCATCATGTATCTGGGCATGGCGTAGCACGGGTTCTCTTCAAGCTTTGATACAGGGAGATGTATGGGCTTGTTAAGCCCTGTAGGAACGTGATCTGTTTATAACATTATTTTCGATTTTTCTTATAAGTTTGTTACTAATATGATATTGAAGAGTAGAAATCCATGATGTCTGAGCAAGATTTTCAAAACTTGCAATACAAGTATTAAAAAAAGTAGTTGGAAGTGAGAGCATAAGCTATGATTCTAGAACAAGAAATGTCGAAAACGCCATCGCACCAATCTAGAATTAAATATTGTTTCATAAATGTTCATAAACGGACAACATACTTCTTCTCTGCTGTTTATATTCATAATCAACAATGTAAGTCTTTCACAATGTCTACATGATGTTAAGAAGAGAATGTCTTAGATAAAAAAATTATTTCTTACAAAATTGTTGTTTCTTCAAACTGGCGAGCTCGTTTTGTGCTTCTTTGTCCATTATTATACACTTCTCAAGAAGGACTCTGTGACAGTGTGAGTACGCCTGAACAACGCCTGACATTCCGTACTGTCTCGTTAACTTCGCCCCAGCCCCCCAGGCGGTACAATATTAGGTATTTGTAGTTCAGAAAATCCCCACAAGTTAAGGATGTGATTGATAGCACTTAATAAACAGCCATTGGTTTCCTTCTGGAGCTACGTTACGCATAATACATCACAGCATAGTACGTGATGACGTGATTGGAGTATGATCATGGATGCAACGATTATAGCATAACGTGCCAACATGGCGTGATATAGTTTGAATTCTCATTCGAAGCTACTCGTGGCATATACTTTCATTTCACAGAGCATTTGTCTAGGAAGCAACTAGATACTGGTAGAAAACACAAAAGGAAAGAATATTAATTGCATCATCCAAAGTCAAAATCTTACACATCCTTGAATTAATGGCTGTATAAAATGCAGTCACCCTGACTTCATAGTTTAATTTTCAGTGCTTTTCTTACTTAGGTATTTATTTTGAAAATTTTCCTGCTGTTATATAGCTAATGCTGTTCACATATTGTTACTTCCCACAGTATTGTTTTTGGTGACTGAGCTCGAGCGCGTAGATTCGTCAGTCTGTCTGTTTAGAGAAGGTTGACGGCATGTGGGTGGGTGTGGAATGAGGGGGACCAAAGGTTTCAGAATCTGGCCAGGAGACAACAAGGAAGAGTCATACGGAAGCCGAGGGTTGCATATTTCCAGGATCTGACATCTACAAATCTCTGAATCTTGTTTTAAGTTGACACACAGAGAGAAAGAGAGAGAAAGAGAGTAACAGACAGATAGACAGACACACTATACTAGGGCTTGGCAGTCTTTCGAGATGTTGTGTTCTCGTATATAGTAGAGTGCATTTGTTTGAATGATATAATTTGAGTCCAGTATCCATGTTCAAGAGTGGTGATGTGATTTAGTACACACCAACCATAATGCAAACCAGTATCTAACTGTTAATTGTTTGCTATTACTTGATCATCTGTAGGGCAGTAGCAGGGTTTGCATTGTGTAATGGCTTTGTCCTCGTCAACTTTGCCTCGCCCGTTTCTCTTTAGCGAGAGTGAGCATAAGGTCAACATCGGGTTATCCTCAAATCTACTCCTCCTCGCAGTTCCCGGGGCTTGTGATGGTGTGAAATACGGCTGCGTTTAAATTCAATTATCGGACAGTGTGACGGGGTAATGACCGTGCAGTAAATTCCAGGAAGGGGCAAATCATCGCCCACACGATAGGGAAGCGCTTCTCTACAATCGATATAGTACGTTAGAGGGTAAACATTTCGGTAGAAAAGAGCAGCCATTTTGATTAGGATCAAGATTCTTATTCATTTGCATCTGTACATTTTCTTTCACAATGATGGCGCCTCCAGACACTTTCATTAAATATGCTGTTCATAGCGTATATGAAATTGTAAGATTAGTAAAACAGCAGAATTTCTCAACAAATATGCTGATTCCAATGATTCTGGATTTGGCTGATTGCGGACATTTGACTCGGCAGAGAACATCCCTCTGGTCAATCCCAGCAGTCTAACATTGACCACGATTAATGACGCCGGGCAATCGATACTGACTTAGTCGTATCGAACGCAAAATTAATGGTCAATCGACAAAGTTGCTGGAGAAACTACCAGCTTAATGTTAGTGGCTCGTTAAGCCCAATGAAATTGACCATCACGCTGCAATGGTCTCCCAAGGTAACCCCGCTGAGGCCATAAATTACCCTGGGGCAAACCATACCATTGCTTAAAATGCCCAGAAATGTTCAGTCAAAAAGTTGAACTATTCTCGTACGTTTGCATTGTGTTTTCTTACAATTTAGTGACACCAATGAGTGAGTGAGTGAGTGAGTGAGTGAGTGAGTGAGTGAGTGAGTGAGTGAGTGAGTGAGTGAGTGAGTGAGTGAGTGAGTGGGTAGGTGGGTGAGTAGGTGAGTGAGTCGGTGAGTGAGAGAGTGGGGGACTGGGTGAGTAAGAGAGTGAGTGAGTGAGTGAGTGAGTGAGTGAGTGAGTGAGTGAGTGAGTGAGTGAGTGAGTGAGTGAGTGAGTGAGTAAGAGAGTGAGTAAGAGAGTGAGTAAGAGAGTGAGTGGGCTGGTGAATGCCTGCGTGCGTGAGTGAGTGAGTGAGTGAGTGAGCGAGTGAGTGTGTGAGTGAGTGAGTGAGTGAGTGAGTGAGTGAGTGAGTGACTGAGTGAGTGAGTGACTGAGTGAGTGACTGAGTGCGCGAGGTAGTGGTACTTATAAACGGCGCATGGAGGAATGGGGGAGGCAAATATGATATATGCATTTTGTAATAACCCCAGATAGAAAGCAACTAGGAAAATATACCTGCTCCACAGACCTATTTTGAAATAATTTCGCCAGGTGTCGCTGCTACCAATACACGAGCCAGCAACGGTCATTCCCCACTTCATGTAACACACGTATGTATATGTACACAAAGACAGACCCAAACATAATCTTCTCCGAGAAGGTAATGAAGAGATCACGCACACTCTCACCATATTTGTTCTTTATTCAACGACAACGGAACATTTCTTGCCAGCTAAAGTGGCCGGGTATGACCTTAACATCACGTCACGTGTTAGTCACGTGGCAGAGCTAAATGTGTTGTCTGATATTTACGTCATAGGCACGTGGCTGCAGGCCGCCTGGACGACGTCCCTCAGGGCGTAGTACCTGTTCAGGTTGGTGTTGTACCGATCGTCGATGTGTACAGGGTCGTTAAACACGCCGCCCCAGGTCAGACCTGCAGCAATGACTTCATCCAGGAAGCAGTTGGCGGCGTTGTCCCATTGTCCTGTATTGTGAGATCATTTTACAATTAATTGTAGCGTCAGATAATTTTGTTCCTAGATTCTCATTAAACACTGTGTGTTCTTTAATGCTATTAATGCTTGAAAACCTTGCTCTTAGAATCGTTTCACATGTCATAATTAAGATGTTTATTACCAAAAGTAATTTTGATTTGCTTCTACATAAAATTAATCAGAAAACAGCAATTATGACAATAAACAGAATTCAAGACATTAGTCTTCCGCCTGTTTGTTAGTTTGTTACCGACATACCAAAAATGAAAATGGAAGGTAATAAATTACATCGAAACACGTGGTCTAAACTGTTACCGACGTGGATTTGTCCAATCATTGCCTGTATTTAACAGTTAATGACTGTTACAAAGACTTCCGTTGCAGAATCACCAACGTAGTCAATGTCTTGTGTCATCCCCTCAAATGTTTATGCAGTTTAGACCCAGCCATTCAATCTACGTAGTACGAATCTTCATACCTTGCAGACAGTCTCCGTTGCACAGACTTCCGTCCGACCGTTGGATGTTCATGTCGATGGCGTGACCCACCAGGTGGTTGCTGTTGGACGCTGGTTGGACGATGGCTCCACCAATGACAGCCCCCAGCTTACGCCACGAGTGAGTGATGTAGACCTAAAGGCCACAGTTCAAAATTTGAAGACGCGTTATTTTATTTTCTAGTCACTTTTTTCTTCCAATATGAAAACATCTGTTGGAGTAGATCGGATGTAAACTCAGAACGCAACGATAGCCTCAATGGCATCGCAGCTTTGGTCTGACGGACGCGATGTCAACAGCTTCCCAGTATTATCACTCACCTTGACGCCACACCTTCCAGCAGCACTGTTGATGCTGTCCATGGCGCCCCTGAAGCCGTCCTCTACGTGGATGGGGTCTCCCACAAAGTTGTTGTTGTGATAGGCACGGACGGTGCAGGAGCCGCCGCCACCAGTTCCTACAGGAGTAGTGTACACATGTGAGACAAGACAACAAGCTTTGCTAGTCGTCACCAAATTTAAGTATCACAAAATCCCAACCATGTTCAAGAATAGTAAGTAAACCTTTAATTCAGCATTATGTTAAACCTATTTAACAAACAGGAGATCATTAAAAAATGCCAAGGTAGCGCTCTACATGTTATACATCTTCTACGGATTTAGATTAGCAGGGGTCTCCCCGGAAATTTTAGGGGAGAGGTGCACCCTAACCGGTTGATGCCGCACTGCAAAGAAAATCAGCAAATTTTCATGGAAATACTAAGAGAAAACACTAAATTTTAATATTTTGGGATAGTTGCTCGGATTATTGGGAGAGGGAGAGGGAGAGAATCCTTGCTTCATTGCTTGGGGAGAGACCTGGTTAGTATTTGCTCACCGTGGGGCAGACAACACCGCCTGTCTGACGGTCCGCCGCACATGGAAGAGGCGTAGTGACCGTTGCAGTAGTTGCTGTCATCCTTGCACTCTCCCCCTGCTCCGGTACATGACCCGTCGGAGTTTGAAGACCAGTAGTTCTCGTCAGAAAGGCCTGGAAGAGAGAGGCAACTTATCAACCTTTGAGACGGCAATACAGGTCAACACGACAACAAATTGATGTCTCATACTTGATGTCTAAGACTTATACATGTAATTCTGGGTGCCAAACGTAGGACAAAAGCTATGAGCTGCTTAAATCTGATAATAAAGTACCAGCTCAGCTGTGTACTTACAGCTGGAGCTACAGCTCTTGCAGCACCTCCTGTTAGAGTCACCGCTACACAGGCCAGTCTCGTAGCCAGCCGTACATTTGTAGTAACGCCAGTCCAAACAACTGCCGCCGATATTGGTACAGGCGGAGTCACCTGCAGTAGTTTTGACGGAGGCAAAGAAAAATGATTCATTTTACACCAAAGTAAAGTCAGGAAGTCAAGTCAAAATAAAGTAGGGAAAAGAAAATTACAAAAACAGAGACAGCTACTATATTATCTACTCTACTTGTGTTTTATAAAGTAAATTCATAGTAATCAAAACGCTGAATTAGGCTATTAACTATGATTATGTGATTATGTGTTATGCAGTTACAGTGAAAATTGTCGTTAATGACAGATATCTCTTCTCAATTTTGCAGCTTATGTATTTCGGCAATTGAGCCTACATTAAAAAGAAATACATGTAGATGTCAATTATGACAACGCTGAGTATAATTATTGTAGTACGCATACAATCATAGTTAAAAATGGCACCTGAACTACAGTTTGAAACATGTGCCCAAAAATCTACATAAAGAGACGCTATATGGGACAACGGTGCTTTTGGTGCTTTCTACATGTTGCCGTGGAAAATGTATAAGAATTTTTTGGGTCGAAATATACAGTTAACAATTTTCATAAAGACGTATGTTTGATGAGAGACCCTTACCGCTGACCACCGCCAAGAAAGAAGCAAGAACCAAGGCCAGAATCATCTTGATACCTTGAGAGCCACCTCGCTTACTGGTCCTGTTTTAAATTTAAAGAAAGGTCATTAATACTATTTCAATTTCATTTTTTCTGTATTACATTTTTCCATCAACAAAACACAGTTGAAAATTCTACCTGAAAACTATCACAAAAATAAATCTTTTTATGCATGTCAGAAAGAACATTTGGATCTGATTTGCCAGGTGTAAAGCAAATATCAAAATATCTTATGTAGAAACATTTAGTCATTTGTTCCTGTTGATTCAGTCCGCCCCAAACCTAATTCAAACTGTAACTGGGACGGGTACCACCGATGATGCCAAGGCAAATGTTAAAGCAATGGATAAAGACAGCTGGGTCGGCCGCTCGTGTGGTAATTTATATCGATTCGTAGAGCTAGAGATAGGTAGCGGAGAGAGGCGGCATCTAAAGCGTCTGAAAATTTTACATGAGACCTTTCACCAATAAAATTATGACAAAGATTGAATCTAAAAAGAGGTATAATTATATATACCATTATACATAGAAAGTGCTGAATTTAAAAAAAATCAGGCAAGGATTAGAAAATTTTGAAACAAATAATGAAGAAAACTGGACTCACTGCTCAATGAATGCTATGTGTGACCACAGCAGTCGAAGGTTCGTACTGTACTTTGGTAGCATGGCGTAGTTAGCGGGCAATTTATAGCCTGAAAACTAGCTGAAGGACAGATAGACAAAGTGACATGTAAAAGAAGCTGTGGGAAGGTGAACATATGGTGTCAAAATGCAGGGCTCGAAATACTGGGTGCATGTGCACCCAAATTTGCAGCTGTGCATCCAATTTTTTTTTTGTCTGTGCACCAGTGCACCCAAATATTTTTGTATCAATAGATCAATAATAAAATCATTGTTCTATCAAGAAAGTTCATCTGTGTTGGAAGTTACATGTTTAAAGTGAAAAAGTTTGGTTCAACACAGTACATTCTCTCACCTAGAGCTTTCGACCAGTCAATCTGGTCTTCCTCAGTAGACTGAACAAGTGAGGCTTGTCACGTGCTCCTGCCCCTGTCAGTAAACGTACATCGGGGAAACAGAGAGGTCTCTAAAAGCCAGGCTCCAAGAACATACACGGCCAAGCTCTTCCAGGTGTCTCAAGTTCTCAACATATCCACATAGAGTCATCCGGACACTTTGTTTCACTTGACACTGTAAGGATTTTGGACACTGAACAAGACTATTTCTTGAGAGGGGTGAAGGAAGCCCATCACCCTTCATTGAACCGCGACGGGGGTCTACATCTTCTACCAGATACCTTTGACCCAGTGTTGACGTCACACTTCAAAGAAGTCACGTGACAAGCTTCACTGGGTCAGTCTACTGAGGAAGATCAGAGTGACTGGTCGAAAGCTCTAGGTGAGAGAATTTCTTGTGTTGGACTAAAATCATTGTTGTTATAGTACGTTTCTTTAGAAATGAAACATAATTAGTTTTGCCTAATCACAAAAATGAATTTCGAGCCCTGAGATGACATAAATAACGACATGCACACGCGCGGACAGTCAGGTCATATTATCCGCTGTCCTTCGGTTTTGTTTACTGACACTGTTGGTGGCACACGTGGCGGTTGTGGTTTAATTTTATTACAACGGACGAGTTGAGCGGGAACAAATATGCCACAGGATATACATAAAATATTTGAAATGAGATTGACAAAAATAGATCAGAGTAACCGAGTTGCCACGTAGAAAAGTGATGAAAACTAAATTTCCATGACCTATCACATTCGTCAACATTTTTTTCCTCAATACTAGCAGTATGCAAAGCTTTGCCTAGTTGCATGATTTACGCAGATGAATGTTCAATATGAAATGTATTATTACATTACGACATTCAAACTGACCAATGATTGACTATCATACCTATAATGTCACGCCTTTCTTTTAGACCATTGGTCTAAACTGTTAGAGTCAGCAGCAACTTTATCAAATGAACCCTGGTCATACTAAATTTTGTTTGTATTATTATGCGTCACTGCCAATCAAATTTTGAGATAACCTTGTATTTTAGCTATAAATAGTCTGCCCGCTACGCCAAGATCACCATGACGTTTTGGATACAGTACGACCCTCGACTCCCGTGGGCACGTTTGAATACCACTTGAGCAGTGAGTTGAATTTTCTTTTCTTATTTATCCGAATTTCCTGCTGTACAGGTCTCTGTTTATATCCTCTCCTCTCTGTTTATGTCCTCTTGCCTACATCTATAGAATAAGGGATTGAGTTGTGTTCAAAAGCAATTGTCAGTGAAATCAGTCTCATTTGACTGCGCCAAAATTCATATTCTCTGCGTGCGACCTTCCTGAGATTGCAATGTGACTTTCAAAACTTTACCACGCACCAAAAATACACTGAATGTCTGCCTGATCAGTGCATAATATACAAGTTGTGGCTTAGTACGAACTACGACTTTAAAGAATTCAGTCTTGCTTCAACAAAAGTAACCAAATTTTGATTAAGAAAAACAATGATGACTTGATTTATTAGTAAACAGGCACTACTAGCCGTGAAGGCCTGTCTGGCTCAAATATATTGATAAGAAGATTTAAGACTGTAAAAGCTGTAAGCTAAAAAGGAGATATTTCTTATTTGACTTTTATTTTGCACCCGGCACTTTTATTTTGCACCCGGCACTCTATTTTGCATCCGGCACTCTATTATTGTAAAATATGTATGAGAAGATGAACATGTGGTGTAAAAACGACATAAATAACGGCATGCACGCGCGGTCAGCCAGGTCATCTTATCAGCCGTCCTTGGGTTCTGTTTGCTTTAACTGACATCAGCAGCGGCACACGCGGCAGGTACGGTTTGATTTAGATATCAGACGGACGAATTGAACCGGAACAACTGTGCCACATGGTCTACGTAAACTATAAGTATGTTTGAAATGAGATTGGCAAAAACAGTTTCCAAAATGGCCTTGTTGTTAATTCTAAACTAGTACAAACATATCAACTGAATTATAACATTACGATATTTCTAAACAAACACACAACATTCAAAAGCGTGTAGATTCTGTCCTGTCTCAGATATTTTCAATATGAAAATTATTTTTCAGACATAGAATCGTTTCCGGTATTAATATATCGTCATGAATAATAAATTGATCAAGGATAATAGTGATTAACAAAAATACCAAATTCTGTTGTTTTTTTATTTCAAAAGGTTGCTCGAACGTTGCCAAGATGATTCAGTTCTTGGTTCTTACTGCTTTCCTGGCAGTGGTCAGCGGTAAGAAATTGACTTGTCCGTTAATTTTATCTAAATTAAGGCCATGTTGATTAAGTAAAGTAAAAGTTAAGTCCATGTTACTTAGTTCTAAACAAGAAACAAAATCTGACTGTTTAGAAGGTATGAACCATCTGCTTCAATGGCGTTACTTTATGCTAATTATGAGCACGTAATTCGACCAGTAAAACTGCAGTTACTGGAAGTCACCTCTGTTCTACATTTAACAATTGTAATCTGTAAACGAATGTATACCAGGGAATGTGAAAAAAAATCAACAGTAACTCGTTGTGTAAATACGATATTACAGAAGGAAGTTTGCTTAAATGCAATCTGTATGAATTCGGTGTATCATTGTCGTTGATATTTCATTTTTATTTCCTTGTAATTATGAATCTGAATAAAATGGCTATCACTTGATGGGTGTGTCGAATAAAAGGCATAATTTTTAATCTTCTATGATCTGGTGAAATAAATACTGCCTGTATCCACACTTCTCCAGCCGATTCAGCCTGTGATAATATCGGCGGCACTTGTTTGGACTGGCGTTACTACAAATGTACGGCTGGCTACGAGATCGGCCTGTGCAGCGGCGACTCTAACAGGAGGTGCTGTAACAACTGCGGCTCCGGCTGTAAGTACACATGAATTGATACGACTAAAGTGAGAAGCAGCAGGTCACGCCTATTTGATTTTGCACAACGTAATAGCGACCTCTATCGATTTGGAAGCGAACCACAGTGTAAGAACGGCAAAGTAATGTAAACGTGATTGAAATAGTTTCTGGCCTGTCTATGTTATAAATTTGCTGAATACTCGTCACATTCACAGAGTGATAGAAAGTTATAATTATTTAACTGTATTTATTTTATGAACTCTTTGTTCATTATGTACAGATTTGTTTATTTGTATTTACGATCTGTTATGAGTTCACTTATTTGTTCACCATTATTGTATATAGCCTACCTTTATTTGCGTTCATATTTTGTTTGGATTCTGTTATCTGTACCTTTGATCGTCTTTTGTTTATGTATAATTTATTGAAGCGGTGTCGTATAAGCCCACACGGGCTGGGCGCGGGATAGCGCACGACACGGAAATAAAGCATCATTCATTCATTCATATAATTATCAATTGACACATGTAATGTTAGTCGAAACATTATTAGCATGACTAATTCACAACAATGAAACAATATTTCACGGAAATATGAGTTCGTCGAACTACTTACTTCATTGAGTAAAGAGACTCTTTTCACACAACCAAGTCTTTTATTGCAGCGGTTATCGCCGCTATAGATGCATTCCCAAACGTAAAATATTATTTACGTATCTATATATAGTTTTTTTTATTTATTGGAAAATGCAACAAGACATTACACTGACTCTCAAGGCAGCAAAGCTGATATTAGAGAGTCAACATATAAGGACAAAACACAAAGGGCACATAATTTCAATACAATATATGCGTTGTTACAGGAAACTGTATCTACAATGCAGTTCCAAACGTACAGAAGTTGGATATATACATAATTGTGGTCAGTCATTAAACAAAAGCTTACTTCATTGTAGGCATCTCGGATGAGGACTACTGGGCTACCTACTCCGACGGGGCATGTGATGGGGCAGGAGGAGAGTGCAAGGATGACAGCAACTACTGCAACGGTCACTACAACACCGGGATGTGCGGCGGACCTTCCGAGAGGAAGTGTTGTCTGCCTCACGGTGTGTAAAACCTGTCGCTGTATATGTAAGACCCTTATAGGACAAATAGTAAATTACTAGTAGCTTAAGAAGACCCATTACGTCACCGCAGCCTCCTGGTTGAATAGGCAGTCATCAAATGTGAACATGTATTTGGGTCAAATATCACCCCTTTCTGTGCGGGACTGGTAGAAACCAATTGATCACCTTTTGTAAATAGGATTTTGGGTCGAAAAGGCACCAAAACTTAAATTACTTTATTTGTCCTTTTTAAAGACCACCTTGCCAACTCAAAAGTTAAAAACAACACGTACCACTCAGCTTTCTGTCAATCCTCTGACCCTCCTCAAGCTGAAATGACCCGAAGCCTACTCAATATCACGTGGGCGGAGATGTAACCCCAGCAACGGGTCAAAGGTTCCTGGCAAACGGTATCGGCCACCATCTCGGTTTGAGAAATGGAAAGTGACCAACTTGTGACTCTAGTACACTTGTCTTGTAGGGACCAGCGGTGGTGGGACTAGTAGCGGTGGCGGTGGCGGCGGCTGCACCGTTCGCGCTTACAGCAACAACAACTTTGTGGGAGACCCCCATCCATGTAGAGGACGGCTTCAGGGGCGCCATGGACAGTATCAACAGCGCTGCCGGACGCTGTGGCGTCAAGGTAAGCCCCGTTGCCCTTGAAACTTTTTTTCGATTGGAAAAGTCAATAACATACCATCCGAAATCGACGAGGGGGCTTGTTTCATGCATATAGAAAGCGAGCATTTTGAGTAACGAACGTTTTAAAAAAAATATTTGACTTGTGGCCTCCAGGTCTGGATCACTCACTCGTGGCGTAAGCTGGGGGCTTTCATTGGCGGAGCCATTGTCCAACCAGCGTCCAACAGCAACCACCTGGTGGGTCACGCCATCGACATGAACATCCAACGGTCGGACGGAAGTCTGTGCAACGGAGACTGTTTGCAAGGTACTGAGTTTAATAACGTGAAAGTTTAATGCAAATCCATGCCCGTGGGCTAATTGCATGAACATGAACATGATTAAATGATAATACGTAATGCTAATGCTGCTTTTGATGTAGTTTTGATGTAGTTTATGGGTAAATGGAAAAGCGTAGAACGTAGAACAACTGAGTCATTAAATTGCATAAACATCGAAGGAATGGAATAAGCAAGACACTGATTTCGTCTTTGACGCTGTGTGACCAAGACTTGGGGAAGGGCAAATTACAAAGGGGTGGAGGTTTGACATCTCCGACCTCACCTAGTTATTTTGTTACTGTTTGACATCAAGATATCTGTTTGTATAGCTCGTAAAATGCGACCGACAACGTTTGAGTTTGCTACTTGGAAAAAACATATTTTTTTCCAACGTATTGCCCTAACGCTAATTATCTCCTAATCAACACAGGACAGTGGGACAACGCCGCTAACTGCTTCCTGGATGAAGTCATTGCTGCAGGTCTGACCTGGGGCGGCGTGTTTAACGACCCTGTACACATCGACGATAGGTACAACACCAACCTGAACAGGTACTACGCCCTGAGGGACGTCGTCCAGCCGGCGTGCGGACACATCCCCATGACGTAAACATCAGACGACATCCTGGGCCTCGCCACGTCTCGTTACTTCAAGTGGCAGAAAATTGTCTAATAAAGGAAATAATTCGTGATGAAACGGATTGCAAAATTTCTTTCATATCGTGATGAGTCAATTATTTTGCGTCCAACAAAGATGGAATATTACCAATTAATATTGTGTTCAGGGGGTTATTACCTCCATGAAATATGTCATGGGGGTTATATTTACCTCCATGATATGAAATGTCATGGAGGTTATATTTTCAGTTGCGTTTATCTGTCCGCCTGTTGGTCAACAAGATAACTCAAGAACGGCTGGATGGATTGGTTTCATACTTGGTGGGTTGAAACTGACAGACGTTGTAATATATATATAATGTTGACACAAAAAGTCATTGAACGTTCGACTGAATATCCTTCGTCTATTAGTAAATGGAAGTGTGTCTTGATTCTGTTAAGTTAAATACTTCATTACTGTATTCAAGTAGGTATGGCAGAACAGTGAGCACATCCAGTCCATCCATTCTTCAACCCATCCTTCATACATCCCCTGGAATCTTAGGAGATGACGGCTAGCTTGTAGCTAAATGCAGTCTCTCGATGAGGGGGTGTTTTCAAAATCAAATCCAAATGCTTGAGTAACTGGTTTTTGGCGTATCTTATTAGTAGGTAGAGGCTATGTGAATAATATATATATTAAAATTTGCTAATGAGCAGGATTGTAGATGTAAGCCATTTACAGGTGGTAATCACCATGCATAAGATGGTCATCACCATGCAAAAGCACTAAATATGTCATGGAGGTATGAGATTACCGAACTCTAGTTTGTTAAGCTCTCTATCTATAGCGCCACAATTACAGTTTGAGCCATCTCGCAAGAGGGCCAAGATCTAGAGCAATGTGATCAGCCTAAGCTAGGACCAGACCCACTATTTGCACGATACTTATCATTAAATACATTACTAAATGACTTAATGAATTGTTTGAATGAATGAAATAATGATCAATTGATGGTTACATACAATCATTACAAAAGTAATCGGTACTATAACTTACTACAGAACTGTTTGAGCTATTGGTTGGGCTATGTGACATGCACCCAAATGAGGATTGAACATAAAATCAACACATATCAATTGATACGCAAGAAAGAAAATTGTGTGTACCAACTTACATTAGCTAAACGCGGTGGGATATGGTTATGAAAGATTTTCCTCACTTTAAGATAACGTTATGTAGTGATGTAAATAGTCAAGGCTCAGACTCTGATTGTAGTACATCAAGCCCATGGCCTAAGCAAGGTTTCGTTAGACTTGCATCATTCTTTAGGTTTTGCTCGCAGGACATATAAATGGCTATATCGATATCATTGTGCCACGTCAACTATATTCTTAGACTTTCTGATGCAATACAATTGCAGGTTCGCGCTCTTTCCCGAAAGTTCTCTTAGATTAGAACGGACATTGCATCACATCGATGCACAATATGTTCAATATTTTCTGAAAAACAAATGGGTAAACATACTACCTGAACCAGAAAACAGATGTTTCTTTCCTAATGATACTAAACTCAGAGGGCATGGTCTTTTTTCTTGGGAAAAGTATCTTAAAGTCGTTTTGTTGACCTAGTTCCATTCTTTGACCTTTGACCCACACGGCATTCGCACCACTGCACTTCCGGGATGATACAATGTTGTGCAATATCTTCACTATTTATAAAAGACTAAAGATCGATTCTGTTCATCACATTACAACACCTGAACATCGCATGCTAGTCGGAGGTAGGTCCGCTTCCTTCTGTGTTATTTGAACCGTCCTGTGTTTTTTTCTCTGCATTTTATCGTTCCTTTCCCGATGTTTATATTGCCCCTCCCCATTTCTTTAGTTTTATGTTGCTGGGGAAAACACGTTTTGTTTACGTTTAGCAAGTCGAGTTATAGAAAAGCATTTCAAGACATATCTTGTATACTAGAAATCATATGCTAGACAATCTTATTGCCCTGCAGAAATTTATATCGGGTAAGAGATATCGCTGACTGACACTCGGACAGGATGCCGAGCCACGCACGAGGCCGGGGCGGTAGGGGAAGGGGGCGCGGCCGGGGAGGGCGCAGGAACGCCGGCGGGGACAGGCCGCGGAGACCGAAGGTTGGTAACGTTACTCTACTTAACAGATTACTGTGTATTTCGTTTTATGTACGTACAAGACTCATGATGCATTTTACACTTAACGTTGTAGCGGATATCTTTATTGCTCATCATTGTGCAATGACAATGACGTCACCAGCTGTATTGTGTCTGATGGTGCAATACAATCACAATGTACTGTTAATTGCAAAGAAATTGCGTCATGCAGGATTTTTTTTTATATCACTTATTTATCGCAGTAAGATCCTCCCTGGTCTCATCGCCCATACAGGACCACTCAAATGCGGAAATTGTGTGGGCCATGATTCAACAGGCAGGATATAGATCTCTTTGTATAGGCTCAGCTTATAGACCCCCATCTACTGGACTTGGATATGTGGAGGAGTTAGAGGCATCTATAAATAACATAGTAGAAAAACCCTCACCACCCAACATTGCATTATTCGGGGATTTTAACCTACCCGACATATGCTGGGACTCAGAACCCCCCACTGTTAATCCCACACCGCAATATGGGATGGGAATTAACGAGAAATTTCTGGAGGTAGTTCAGGGTCCTAGCCTGTCTCAGGTGGTCTTGACCCCAACACGTGGACAAAACATCCTGGACTTGGCTCTTGTGTCAAATCCAGATCTTGTTGAAAATGTCAGTACTTGTCCGGGGATAAGTGACCATGTAGCTGTGGCAGTAAGTATGAAAAGTCATGTCAAACCAAACAAGAAAAGACCCCGTTCAGTTTATATGTACAAGAAAACAGATAAAACCGCCCTTACAAATGGGCTGCAGGACTTGGAAAAACAATTTAAGGAGCGAGTTCCATCTAACCATACTGTGGAAGATAACTGGAATTATTTTACTAGCAGGTTGAGGCAATTAATCCAGAAGCACATACCACAGAAATTGCTCTCCAATAGACATCAATGCCCATGGGTAAACAAAGACCTAAAACGACTCATCAAGAAAAAGAAAAAGACTGTATAATAGAGCCAAGAGATCGATGCAAGAACAAGACTGGGTAAATTTCAAAACCATGCGTAGGATGGTTAAACAGAAAATAAGAAAAGCCCACAATGACTACTTAAAAGAAATCTTAGATGAGGCATTGGACAACCCAAAGAAATTCTGGCAATATGTGAAGAATAGGAAACAGACAGCTTCTGGGGTGGCCCCCCTAGCCCAGCATGACAAACTAGTTGTGGATGGGAGAGGGAAGGCCGAGGTCCTCAGCAAGCAGTATGACTCCATCTTCACAGAGGAAGACCTCACCAAGGTACCCAAACTAGGGGCTAGTCCTTACCCTGACATGCCTGAGGTTGAGGTAACACTAGAAGGGGTGCAGAAACTGTTGCAGGGGATAAATCCCAATAAAGCACATGGCCCGGACTATATTCCATGTAGAATTTTAAAAGAATACGCCATCGAAATAAGCCCCATTTTACACATTATATTCAACCAGTCTCTGCAGGAGGAACAGGTTCCAGTGGAATGGAGGAAAGCTTACATCAATCCCATTTTCAAAAAGGGAGATCGAAGTGATCCCTCAAACTACAGACCTGTTTCTCTTACCTGCGTATGCTGCAAATTGTTAGAACACATTATGTTTTCAACCACAATGAAACACTTGGAAAATCACAACATACTTCTCCCCACACAACATGGTTTCAGGACCAGACATTCTTGTGAGTCGCAACTAATAACAACCTTGCATGACTTAACATCCTGGGTCGACTTGGGTCTTCAAATAGACATGGCCATTCTCGATTTTTCCAAAGCTTTCGATAGCGTTCCGCACACCCGACTACTTAACAAACTA